GTGGGTGTAAGTGTGGATATAAGCAAAGAGATACACCCACATTTTCAAGACATGTTCATTAACCGAAATGTTTTATGTAAATAAATTAATAATGAATAACTAATATTATTGATCACAAACAAAACATGTCTGAAAAAGAGTAGAAAATCTTTTAAATTTATAATTCTTAAAAGCATGATCAACTAACAAATAACTTGTTAACATATAAGATTACAAAGCTATACTCACATACAATAATCAAAAATCGTTAAATATCTATTTTACTATATATGATAGTAGATTATCAAAGAAAATATACACACCGAACGATTAGTTTAGGTCTTGTAGGATTAGTCTAATAGAGTTAGCTAGAATTTAGATACTAACTCTAACTCTCTAATTAACTACAACGACATGATGAAAATCATGAAATAGTATGTATATTACGTAATGAATGATTCAAGATAAAAAATTAGTGAGATTTTATCTTATTATTAGAACACCATTTTCTACAGTCTTTATCTCTAATGCAATGAATCGTTTAGCTTGATGAGAAAGTCTGATATTTCTAGTAGAACGAAAAAAAACGAGATTGTATTACAAGATAATAGTAGTAACCTAGAAATAACATGTGTGATATAATGACAGTTTTTAAATCTTCGTCCTATTTTCTGTTCTCAGAAAATATATTTAATATTAATTTCATGTAATAGATATCTTGTAAATATAAAGAAGATTACATTCAATTGAGGGTGTGGACATCAAGTTCATATCGTATCACACCAAGGCCCTCACCCACCAATACCCATACCATCTTGAGGGTGTGGTTGTGAGTCTTATTGTTATCCCACACTCTCAATGTCGCATTAATGATGATCGTAATAAATTGACTATTTCCCCTGTCGCCAATTCGCCTTAGTTTTGACAAGTAATTATGGCCAATTGATGATTTTTTGAACCGAAGTGATTCATCGATGGTGTTGCAATAAACTTTAACAGAAAATGTCAATTCATAAAAATAATTTATTCTCCTTATGTTAAAGTTAATTTTGACAAGAAAATAAGAAAAGTGCGTATTATAATTTATGGAAATAAATGTCTTGTACTTTGTTTAGGTTCATCATTGCATCAAAATATTTTGCTCAAATTTTATTCGAATCTAAAATTAGAAAGAAGGAATTATCCACATTCAACTTCCACACGTCAAAAAAGATTTCTCAAGAAACTATTACAACTTTCATTTGTGATCAATAATTCATAAACCAAATGGAATTTATTTGTCAAAAAAGACTTTTTTATTCGAAATCAGATGATTTTTTTTTATTTTGGTGAATTATATTATTTTACAATTGAGTTATTTTCAAAATAAAATAATTTTCATATTATTCAATACATAGTTCATATTTTTGAATTCGATGATTACCACCATCAGCAACATAAAGATTTCCTTCAACATCAAATGATAGACCTGTGGGATAATTTAATTGATATCGTTCATTTCCTGCACCATTTCCACCAACAACAACTGAACCATTTGTATCTCCTTCACTCCAACGCATAATTCGACAATTCAAAAAGTCTGCAATAAAGATTTGGCCCAAATTATCAACAATCATTCCAAGAGGCTGAGCTAATTGGTTGAGACCGCTTCCTCGTCCATTCCCGCCTGCAACAACAATACCTTCTTTTGCATCTTTTTTCCATTTGCTAATACGATTATTTCCAGTCTCGGATACATAAATAGAATACTCTTTATCGACGAAGATTATGCTAGGTCCCTCGAATTGATCTAGATGTTCTCCGTTACTATTTCCACCTGCAACTAATGTTCCAACTGTGTCTCCTTCTTTCCATCGTCTCACTTCATACTTTGCGTGATCAGAAACATAAATAAATCCATCTTTGTCTATTGCCACACCGTTACAGTAAATATTGGAAATGAAAATTTGTGGATTTGTTCGACTTTGACGGAACCATCGCATTACCCGATAGTTTCCATGATCACATATGATTATTGCATTCTTCTCTTTGTCAACAGTTACGTCGTTTGGCCTTTCGAATTGATCCAGGTTTTTTCCTTGTCCGTTTCCACCTGCGATGACTTCACCATTGTTCGAATTATATTTCCATTCAATAATACGATGGTTCCCAGTATCAGCAATCAAAATAGCTTGGTTATCATCGATATAGATCTTACTAGGGATAATGAGTTGATTTAATTGATCTCCATTTCCATTTCCTCCAGCAATAGTAATTCCATATTGTTTCCATTTGTTGTATTTTGGCTTGCTTTTTACTAATAGAGAAGAAAAAAGATTTAATATCAAATCAAAATCTATAAACTATATCGATTTAATAAAAATATCAAAATAAAAAGAAAAGAATTTTGGTAAAGAAATCTGATTTAATTTTTTTCTAAGTTCGATAAGGAAACATGATGTTAATGTTTTTAAAGATTTATTAAATTTGTGAATGAATTATTCGATCGAAAATCTTTGAAATTTGTGGAAAAAAAACAATCTATCTTTGTAATTAATTGAAGATAAAAAATAATTAAACAACAAAAGAAAACTGAATAAAAATATCTTCTCATTCTTCTTTTGAAAAAGCGAATGAGAATTTGTTCTTTGAATGGATGATGTGCATCGATAGATGAGTGATCAAGAATAAAGGCTCTCACATTTATACTGACTTTACTGCATATTCTGCGATATTTCTCGACTAGCTTCCTACCAGAATTTGGAAAATACTATTGTCTTGTATCAAGATCTGGTATAGATTTATAAGATCATAGTCAAGATACACATGGTCTAATATAGTGACTATAGTATATGTATAGATACTCTTAAATACTTCAGAAATAGCCCATCAGATATCTTCTACAAGTGTCAGAAATCAAAGCATAGATCAATGGTCAATTTAATAAATCTTTAAAATCCTCGCTCTCAACAACATCTTTAGATGGAAAAATTCGCCGTACTGTATCTGCAGACAGTAGTAAAATCACACTGATAAGCATTATTTAGTCAAAATCTTGACAAAATAATGTTACGTTAATATATCTCAGTCACATGAGATTCATCTGTACATAAGATCGACTCACTTTCGTCTACTTTGTATTTTGATTTAAGAGATGTTTCATTGGAAAAATTACACATTAATAAACTTTCAAAGCACAATTGTTGAAAAAAATATTATGATTTCCTTCTTTATTTCTCAAATATTTATTGTTTATTAACTCTTGAAAATTTCTGAAATTTTTTTGTATATCTATATTTTTATCTTGCAACTTTAAGTAAAGAATGACAATCGAAACTCATTGATACAAAAACAGAATGTTAAACCTTCTTTTATTGAAATATGATTTAGAATTTATCTCTACTAAAAATCAAATGATAGAACTCTAATCTCTATGAATATTCTTATAAAATATTCAAAAATAAATTCAACACGAACAATATCATGAAAATATTTTAATAATTTATCGAAAAAGAAAAGAATATTGCTTTTTTTTATTTTGTTAATATTATACCTTCTGTCGTTGGATTGTCTGCTGTTGTTGTTTCTGATGTCACAGTTGATAGGCTTATCATGTTTGTTGTTTCTATTGGTGCAGTTGATAGTTTTGTTATGTTTATTGTTTTTGTTTTAATAATCACGATTGGAATAGTCACACTCAAAATAACAAAGATAATACCAATAATGATCCATGAGAATTTCTTTTTTTCAAAACATTTTCTTCTATAATAAACAATTCGTTTAATTATAAATCTCAACAATTTACAAAACACATACAACAATGTTGATTGATCAGTTGATGTCTGTTGAGAATTCGACGTAACTGGTTCAGACTAAAATAATTCATTAAAATCAAACGTTATTTAACAAGTATATTACATCACAAACTCCTATTTGATTTCGACTCATCATGAATATTTTCTGCAAGTTTAAGATTGAATTAATACCTTATTAAAATTAATAATCTAGAATGTTTAACAAAAACAAAAGATCACTTGAAAAATATGCAGAAATATTTGTCTAAAAATATAATAATGAAAAGTATTTATTTATAAATCAGTCAAAAGAAAAGGGAAAATTCAATTGAATTGTGTTAATTCCAGAGAAAGAGAACGCAAACTATCAATATAGAAATGTGTTCATAAGACTTTTCAGAATATTTCTAAATGATAGTCTCAGAACTGAAAAAGTCATAAAAAAAGTGTTGAAATTTATTTTTGTCTGAAAATAATCAGAATAAAGTACATTTTCGTCCATCAGAGTTGGTAAAACTTTCTTTTTCTATTATTCACTAATCATTACGTCTTATTAATACTTACCTCAATCAAATCGAACAAGAACAAGTTGTTTTGCACTGCTATTCTGAAGTAACTCACTGCAAAATCTTGAGGGTGGTTGTTAATCTGAGCTAAAACAAAAGACACCCATATTCACACCCTAATTAGAGTTGTTATTAATAAAGCGAAAACTGTGCTCTCGTGGGATCTCAGATTATGTTAAATGTGAAAAAAAATGGAACATCTGTTTAAATTAATGGACGAAAAATAATGGAGAAAAAGAATTCACTGAAATACGATCGATCTTGATTTCATGATATTAAGATTGACACTAATAGTACGATCGAGAAAGGATAAGAACAAGTTAAGTCTAGATCAGAATCTATTTCCAACTACAAATATACAAATCAAAGATTAAAATAATGCAACTTGTCCAATATCAAATGGACAATTTTGAATTATAAGGAATGATAGAAGAAGCACAGAAAATAGTAAGTTATTTAAATAGATGAAAACTACAGATAAGAAGTACTCATGTCAATTTTTCAACGACTATATATTAATATTTTTAATTTCCGAAGGACTATTTGCGTCATTTCCATACCCGAAGTCTTTCTTGAACAAAGAAACTGCTGAATACATGTTTTTGTTTTTATTCATTTATGAAAATGAATATCTCAAAACAAACATTTTCACTATTTCTTAAAGAAAATAGCCTATAGTAAAAATATCCTAAGAATTATCAGAAACTCTTAACTTACAACAATATGTAACACTTACCACGAAAAGTATCTTATACATTCCACATGTGTCACCTGAATTTACAAAGAGTCATGAGAAGATATTACGTGTATTTAACTATATATACAGTCGTTGTATGGAACATGTCTTTCTATTTTTTTTCCCATCACGTTTTAATTCTGCCTACTTCCAACATCTGTCAGAATAAATAGGAACAAAGAAAGAAGCATTAGAGTAAAGAAAAAGATTATTTTTTTTATTGAAACATTTTCTGCTACATAAATAATAGATATTGATATAAAATCATTCAACGATATGTACGATATTTAATACTAAATTCAGATTTCAAGAAAGAATTGATACCTCAAGAGAATATTCTCGCTAACTTTTTTTCTTTTTATCCACAGAAAAAGAGTCGAATTTTCAATAATAAATATTGATGATTTCTATTCACGCTGATCCAAATCAGGAATAATCTTAATCAATAATAATTCATAACTTTCAATTATGTCTGTCAATGTAAAGTATAAATAGAATTATTGGCTAGCAATATTAACTTCATCTTTATTATTTGAGAGTGTGTGTGGTAGATATAATACTCATACCCACACCCTCAAAATATGTTATGTTTATCATTTTCCTCACTGGAGAAACAAAATATTGGACATATTTCTTAATTTATGGTTAAACATGTGTGTAGAAAAGATGAGCACAAAAGATATAGCAGCTACATCAATCGTCAAGCCTTAGACAATATCATGAAATCTACTCTTTTGTCTTGGAATCAACATGAGGATGACAATGTGATAGATGAATGTATTACTCTTATTATGGTGTTAATTCATTCTTGTACATCATCAAGATATTTTATACTAATCTAAATCTATTACTGAAGTATTTTATTGACAATAATCTGATAACTAATCCTGTAGTTATAGCTTAACTCTATAAACTTTCAAATGAATGAATGAATAATAATAAAAGAGATTCTTTTCTCTCAGAAAACTTTGTATTTCGTTCAAAAAGTGTTGATTTCTAATGTTTAATATTATTGAGAAAATGATCTTCTCATTTGTTATTGATATTTGTCTTCTATTGAATAGAATAAAATCAAGTTGTTTCTTTTTAGTTACATTCTCCAATAATTAACTTGAATGATAAAAACTACTCTTCTATATTTTACTGAAAACTGAACATCAGAAAAACATGAAGTTTATTTTTTTATTGTATTCGCCTACACAGTGTTAATGGGAACATTCATTCTTTTTTCAAATATTTGCAACAAATACAACAGTCGAATTTATTAATAAATAAAAACAATGAATCCGTTTCCTTTTTCACAACTGATATGAAATGCCAGACATTATTTACTGTAAATATAAAAAAATGTTCATGATATTGAGATTTTGTAGGAAGGATGTGAAAATAAAGTGTTTCAAACAAAATTTAATGTTATTCTTGTTAAGAATACATCGCAAATCATGCATTAACGAAGGAAATACAACGCTTCCTGAACAATAAAATAGAACTATTTTGACAACAGAATGTTTTTGTTATTTTGTATTCAGTTGAAAGAGGAAATAAATCGGCATTGTGTATTATCAGAAATGTATTAAACAATTGATTTTATTCTTATTTCACAGATTAGATAAATAATAAAAAAGTGCAGTTGTTTATCTTCAGAATAAATCCTCATCAAATACTATTCTATGAGATGAATATCATCGAACACATAAAATCTGTGAGAAATAAATGGATACATTTAAAAAATAATTAGAATTGCACAGAATAATATCATATTGACATTCACAAGAATCAATTGAATTCATCATTTTATTATCCTTTGAAATTATTCATTATGACAAATAATTATGATCAGACTAAGATATTAATTATTTCTTCTATACATTTTAGAAATAGGAAACACTGTAAAGAAGAAAAATAAAACAATGAGTTAGAGGTGATTGACAAATAACATACGAAAAATATTCTATATTGGTATGTACAAGAGAACAAAGAAGATAAAACTATACTGTGACTGACATTGTAAGTAAATAATTGTAAATGTTGAATACTTTCTTAAAAACAACGACATTTTTTACTATTTGGTCAGAATTCAACTGATAAAGTTAAAATTTTTTATTATGATGAAGACTTGAATCATTGAAGAAGAAAACTAATTTATTCTGTCCAATTCAAATAAATATTTAGAGATTTATTTTTCTAAAAAGAGGACTCTATAGAATCTAAAATTAAATTGAATATTATGCAAATTTACTCTTTCTGTTAATTATCTGAATTTCTGTTTATTCAACTCAAAAATTCAATATATTTTATAAAATAAAAAATTTGTAATGAAAAGAGAGTGTGAGTATGAATAGAATAGTGTACAACGACACCAACACCTTCAAGTGAATAAAAAATTGGAAACATAAGCCAAATTAAATAAATAATAGAAAAAAAATCGAAAAAAAATTGAAATAGGTGCACGACGATACGTAGATTGAGTAAATATAATACAACTAAAAATATTACCAGTAATATCTAATGCAAAATAAACTGTCATTCCGTATCGAATCATTTCTTTTTGTATAAAAGATAAATCTGTTATAACCATGATTTAGTTGTATTTTATGTTACAGAGTATTCAATATTCTAAAAAGAATAAAACTTGAATATTTTTATATTTATACTCAAAATACAACGTCATCGAACAGAGCAGATGTTTTTAAATAAGATTGATTAGGATTTGAAAAGACAGTAATTAAGAGGCAATGATTTCAACATAATTATGTCTGATATTTCATTTTATATCTCTGACATACTATAGCATGTTGGCTTATCATTACAATCATAAATACGAGAAAAGGTGGACATGTAAAGGTTTTGATAGATAGATATCTCGATTGTAATTGTGAGCGTTTAAGTGAATATTTCAACAAAGTTTTTTTTTGTATAATTTCATAAAAGAAAAACAAAGAAGTACATTGACCTCATAGGAAAAGTCTTCTTATTAAGTTAGATATTTAACTTTAATTAAAAATGAAGGATCGGTGTTTTTGTTTCCTAACGTTATCATTTATTAAAATACGATGAATAAATTATCAGAAAATAATGAATAGTATTGATAAAGAAATCTCCACTTTAATCAATGAAAATTTAAATTACAATATCTATAGAAATACAATATTTTAGATATAAAAATCACTTCTAGCGTTAGTTAATCATAATGAGATCTCTCAATTTCATTTATTATTACCTATAAATTACATTTCTCTGTAAATGTCTCAAGTCAAGCAATGAGAAGAGGATACCATGCTTTTAATGCACCATATAATCATGTCAAAGTGAGGAATAAAATCTTTCTTTATGTATAGATTTTCTTGTAGTCAACATTTTCAATGATTTCTATTTTAGTCTTATCGTTATCGTACGATATCTGCTGAATTTAAAAATACAAATCAATGTACATTTATAAATTACCATCATTTTTATTAAAATGCGAAAAACGAACGCAACCAGAACATGCATCATTTTTCTACGGTACAGGCACAATATCCAAGTTATGAAATTACATGATTTTATTATCAATAATTTATAATCGTTTAAAAAAGAAGTCTATTAAATTGTGTTGCTTACAATAGGTTTCTTTCTATATCAATCTTTATCAATTTTACTACGAACAAAATGGCTGAGAGCTAGTAATAATAATTTTTCTTATAAAATATGTTAGCTTATTTGCATATGTAAATGTAACTACTCTTCAATCGAACAAATGAGTTGATGTATTATCAATGATATGAGTGTTTAATTCAATTTCTTACAGTATCAATCGTATTTATTACAAGTTAACATTGCAAATGTTCTGTTGAATAATGACTCAAAATTATCCAATAAATATTAATCAAATAAAAATACATATCTTGCCGAGCGGCAATTTATATCTTCGATTACAAGTGACGCACTTCAATCAATAGAACAGAATATTAAAAAAAGACAAAACATACAGCTTTTTTATTCATTCACTTTCAATACAATTAAGTAAGTACGAGCAGAGTATGGGTGTGGGTGTGGGTGTGGATAGATGTGAAATCACCTTTTCTTTACTGACACCCACACTCACTCACTCTCACTCGCACCCACACCCACCCGTGGAATAATCAACATTTGCACGGTAAAAACTAGCCAAAAACCTTCCAAGAGTTTATACTTAGCACATATACCTCTTAAAGATTTATGATAAGGAGAGTACAATAAATCTTGATAGTGTAAGTATATATTCTACTCTGATACCCTCACCCAAACTGGCGTATGCACACCACACCTACATCCATCCTCAAGATGATATTCATATTAAAGATAATGATATATATATTTATTGATAAATATGTTACATCAACATACAAAAAGCAGATTAAACAACAGAATTACTATATAATATTTCATTCTGTCTATTTTAATAATCGTCGTCATTTGATTTCACAATTTTTGTTGTAATCTTTCTTCACAGTTGCCACGGGTATTGGATGTTGACGAAGTATCTTTGCTCGAATTAGTTGTAAAAATTCTTTTCGAAACATATCTGATGACACAATAAAATTAATAAATGTTAATGAAAATCTAAGATGAATAAGAGCATATGTCATATTACCAGCGAAGTCCTCAGTTGTAGTGTGAAGTAGTGATTTCGAAGTATTTACAGTTAATGCCTTATAAACAAGAAAGCATGGATTTGGCATATTGAGAATCATAAAAACGAGAATTTGATTTGCTAACATCTTATGAAGTTGAGCATCTTTTTTGGATGTTTTACTACCTTGAATATGTCGACCACTATGTGCTACCCCAATTGGCTCAATTCGTTGTCTAGTTTTATGCACATTATTAGCAGTTAATAGGCCAAAAATAAATAATCAAAGTATAGGAAGTATTCCACTTTCAATGACAATATAAATGCTAAAAAACACTCCATAAGCACCGGATTGATACCAACAGGTACCTGTGCTTATATCATAGAAAATGATAACTTGAATGTACATGACACACCAGAAAATAACATTACCGATAATAAGACGAATGGCGATTTTTGGTGAACTCCATTGTCGACGAAGTGAATTACGAGAACTAGTAAAATAACGATCAATTCATGGCATAATGATATTGTAACAAGGAATAGCTACAAATATATAAAATAAGTAAAAGCGAATCTTACAATACCAAAAGGTGGTATTGAGAGTATGAACATCATAACCATAGTGCAGCATTCGAGTGAAAAGAGCAAAATTGAAAATGAAGAACTGTGAAAAACTAGAAGCAATGAAATACATAGCACAAGGACTCTTGTGAAAAGCTGATTGACAAAAGACAATAATAGCCAAAATCGATCCAATATTGCAATTGATCATAATCAAACATAGACCATATTGTGAAATAGTCTTGTTGACAAACATGATAAGTGCAATCAAATAAACTTGGTCATCATTAACGATGATGATAGTATCATTTATTGTTGTGTTAGACATTTCTTTTGCAAAAGATATGAATACTATGTGATTTATCGATGCTTTATATGTCAATATTTCTAATATATATTTCCCTAAAACATGAAATCTATCGGTTGATCGATTTTATTTGTTACTCATTCGAATATTTCTTTTTCTAAAATAGTATGAACATCATTTCATGTCATTCAAAGTAATTATATCTATTTTACCAGAGAAATGTTAATGAAATCTATTTAGCTATCAAAGCAAGAATAACTATTGTTTTTTATGAATGATTATAAATAATATGAAGAAAAGATACTTATTTTATCAAAAACACTAAACTTCATCATTAGTGTGTTTATTATCAAAGTAGTAAAAAGCAAAGCTTTGTTTTCAATAGTCTAAACAGTACTCTAAATATTAACCAAACATGTTTGTCACTCTTCACGCATGAAAGGAACTTTGATAATTTACAGCATAAGACAGATGTTCTTGTTAAACCCATAGATATTTATACAATGATCGTAACATATCACAGAAAAGAACATTTCATTAACAAGACACATGTATTTTTCACGTAAATAATACCAAGTGACATTGATTATGGTCAAAAAACATTTCTAAAGATCATTATATAGAAACCACTTTGAGTAGAAAATACAATTTTATTTCATCCATTAAGCGACTATTTATAACTCGTCCACTCCAGGGTTGCCAAATCAAAATTTTAGAAAACAGGAGTTTCAAAAAAAAAAGCAGGAGTTTTCCAGGAGAAGTTTTTTCCCAAATCAGGAGGTTTTCTATTTTAAGTTGAGAAAATATTAGACGGTTTTCTCGTAGAAAATTCGAACGTTCGCTAACAAAAAATATTTATCTCCTTCGTATCAAGTTGGTGATCAAGAATTTAATACACATAATATTATTTTTACTTGAATTTTATCACAAATAATATTTTTTTGCTATACAGAATGATCATGAAAAGTGTTCTTTTAGTTATATCTATTATGTACTCTTGATCAGTTAATATTCTTATCTGTATTATTTCCAAATTAATTTTCATTCTAATCTATCAGCCAAAATTCTTTTTCATTGCAGAGTTTAAGCAAAAGTATTTATATAAATGAATAGAACGATAGAAAGATTCTTGACAGAGTTTGAAAAAAAGACAAGCATTCTTTATCTCTTACATCACTATGAATCGATTGTACGTGTTTCTTCGCTTGTTTTTGCAATGAACGGTCTATAGCATTAATATGCTGTAAAAAAAACAAGATAAGCTAATTTTTGACAATGGAAGTTATTTTTCTCTTAAGCCTTTTATGATCTATTCAGTGAACATTTTATCGATATGGCTATCACTTCTGTTTCTTTACCATTGATATCTTCACTTTTTGTTATTCTAATATATACCTATTTATTCTTTTCATGTTTATAATTCGTGTCAGACTTTGACAACAAAATTAGCAGTGCCCATGAACCTATAACAATTCTCTAATGAAAATGAAACGCAGGAATCTTGCTAAGTTATTCAAGATATTGTTCTATTCTGAGCTAAGAAGAATCAGACGTGAATTCCAAGAAATGAAAAAATCTTTCTAGACGAGAGACATCTTAACTGGTCATTTAAAATGTTGCCCATCGGACTCTTGTCTAAATATCAAGATCAAGATCTTGTTTTCCAGACAATAACATGCATTTTTTCTGCTGTCTCCAGTAAAATAAATATTTTGTGTACTGCTAGCTCCTACAATTGATGATTTTTTTCGAGAAAAATAAAATAAAAGCAAATATTTTCTTATTCGTTACTATAATTATTGAGTACTGCAATAGTTCTCGTTTTTTCCTTTTAACTTTCTTATCGATTCAAAGTATCGCTAAACATCAGGAGAAATCAGGAGAAAATGTTAAAAATCAGCTCCTGAAATCAGGAGATTTTCAGCCAGGAGAAAAGTAAAAAAAACAGGAGAATCCTGGTTAAATCAGGAGGTTTGGCAAGCCTGGTCCGCTCACCGGAGAGAAGGGGAAGAAATAATGGATAACATAGTGAACAACGAAAAAACAATATGAGCATATATGTGTGTACTTTAGACTTCTGTTAAAATCTACAAAATAACTAACAATATCAAAGTATATGTATCTATGATATCATGATCTAGTACAGATCATAACATATCCATCAATTATATTAAACTGTGTGTTTATGTTTCTTTGTCAAGAATGAATATGAATAAAAACAAAGAAGATAATTGACATACTTATTTGCAAAAGTTCTTCTAATGATATTAAAACTAGATTGATCTATTGTCTATTGATAACTTATTAGAAACATATGAAAATGATCGAGAATGATTTTGAATAAGTGAAAAGAAGATAGCATATGATTTATTTAGTGACAAGTAGATAATTACTATATAAAGTACGATAGTATTATCTATCTTACATCAAATAACGAAGTACTTAGTAGAAGATATAAATAGTACAGAACATTATACTATTAAATACTGTTTTAGCGTGAAAGAAATCACGATGACAAAAAATGAGAAATTATTGTATATTGTAAACTATTTATCATAGAATATATATGATTTTGTTCTACTAATTCAAATCTCTTGATTCAAACTAGCGTTTGTTTTATTCTATAGTATTAACATATGTTTTTTTTCGAGTTCATACAATACACATTTAATATAATAGAACGAAGTGAGATGTTACATTTTTCATCTAATCGACCTTATAATAAGTCATTAATATCTTTATTATCATAAATTAATTGTATTTTTTCTTCCAAAATAAGCTTATGTAGTGTTGTCATTTTTCACTTTAGATTTACAGAAGTTAAGTTATTCAAAAAATACACTTACTTGAAATGGAAAAGTTATAGATAACAGAAAAAAGAAAGGGACCAAACCAATACATTGACATTAGAGAGAGGCATTCTCAGTAACAATCACCCCGTCGGACTGACGACTATTCATAATTAGAAGGTATTCACTGGTAGAGGTTTTATTGTATGTGTGTATGTATCTGTTTACAATACTCATCTGAAAAGTATATTTTTATGAAGGTCAAAATAAGAAACATTTGTGTTATTTCTTTCTCGATCTATAGTCATTCTATAAATATCAGTTGTTACCTTGAAAACACAAAAGAAAACAACTGAACAAACAACACAATATTTTATTGCTGTTTCTTTCATTTTTAACGTTCTCTCGATGCAAATTAGTCGAATTACACATAAACAAGATATAATTATATACTTTTACTAGAAAATATAATAATATCAATAGATTCTCTTGTATTTCCAACAAAATAGTTCTATTTCAGTATAGAAAATTAATCAGATTACTTTTTTAAAATGTTGAATAAACGATGATTCCATTCTGTTTACTTTATTTTATTTAAATACTTCATACCAAACTTTTCCTGTTATAACAATTGAAAACAAAGAAATCTATTGTGCACAGTTGATATAACTTTGTTCATTCGAATCTTGACAAAAAAACAAGATATTTCTCTTCTTTCCTGCGTTGTTCACGGTTAACATAAAAACATTCGGGCAAACGAACATTGTTTCGTTCTCTTCAATACTATTCACTGTCGTGAGCGTACAAGAATAAAAAGAAATCGGTAACAAGTCATCCCGTACGTAACCTACATACTTTACGTCTATCGAATGTTACATCTGACTCCGATAGATATAACTGTTTGTGTATATCTTTTCACACGATATTCAAGCGTTTTATTTTCATAAGATATAACATATTATTAAGCGGTTTCATGCTTAAAACTACTTTCATAGGTATAATAGAATTAAAATCTATATTCTTTTGGTTTTGTTTCTTTTTATTTGAAATGGTTGTATAGTTGTATATTATAAATCTATATAAAAAAAAAGAAAGTGTAATTCAATAGCTTTCAATAGTATACTAGATACATGTAGGCTATATATATATATGATTGAAACAAATTTCATATATTGAAAATAATCGAAAATTTTTCATAGAATAATATTGAATAAACTTATAGTTAAATGCCTGATCAATAAACTGAAATTTAATGGAAAGTAAAAATGATCGGACGAATAGGACTGAAACAGTGAGAGTAAACATGAAAAACTTTTTAGTATCATAGACCATTGTTTTAAGTATTTGAATCTTTCGATCAATATAGAGAACGCCATTTCTTAAGCTGGTGCTACAAATTCTTTTTATCTATCTTATATGATGTTTAAGTATAGAAGAGGCAAAAATAGTAAAATTGAAAGGATAAAAAATAGTTACAAGGATTTCTTTTCTCTTTCACACCGTCCTGTTTATGCTTATATAACACATATAGCTTCACTGCAGTAACGGCAATTATCTGACGCTGAGTTCAAAAAGACATTTTTCTGTTCTGTAGCTTTACGTTACCGATTAGCCTTGTACATAAAAAACGTTTTCTCATCTTATTAGATATAAGAAATACAAAACACGAATGTCTGACAAGATAAAAAACATGCCTAAGAATTATGTTCATCTTGAAAATAATCAACGGATATCGATCAAACGTTCATCATCAACTCAATCATCCACTGAACTCGATAAAACAAAATCTGGATCAACTGCCAAACGTTATAAGTTGACTTTAATATGCGATGTTTGTGATGCCGATGCCCATGGTAATTACACAAATCATTCAGTGTAGTAAAAAAAGTATTTTTCTTTTACGATAAATCTTTTTTAGGTTATAGTTTTGATGCTATAACATGTCAATCATGTAAAGCATTTTTCCGGCGAAATGCCTTACGACCAGTAATAAAGATTTGATCCGATTTCTTAAAACGAATGTTTTTTTCTATTTATTACTTAGCAAAAGCGGAAATGTCGTCGTAATGATGCTCATTGTGATGTGGGATTTAATATTAAAAAGCGATGTAAAAGATGTCGTCTTGAGAAATGTATTGAAACAGGTTTGAATAAATAATATTTGATTTATGATAAATCTAAATATTGTTTGATTTTAGGAATGCGAAAAAAATGGATTCTAACGGATAACGAGTAAGTTTTACGGAAGAAAGAATCCTGTTGAATTTAAATAGTCGCAAAGATAAATATTGGATAGTTAGGTATTAAGAGCATTTGACAATTGTTCATTATCGATATTTCTTATTCTAATGTAGAATAACACGAATAGAAGTCAGTTTTTAACATAAAATTTTTCAGAGTTAGAGGAAAGCCTTTTGAAATAGCATAATCAATCCAAAACTTTATTTCAGTCATATCATCTTACCTAGTTCTATGAATGGTCACTTATAAGTAAAAAGATTGTCATAGCCTAACATTAACAACATATTAATACAAATTAATCTAATAGTGTAATTATATCTTTGTTATTTTCCTTCCATTCTAATATAATTAAATTGAAATAGGTAATAGCTGAATAAATTCTATAAGTACACAAAGCTGATTTCATCTTCATCAGGGGCGTACCGAGGGGAGGTGGTGGATCGTTACACCTCCTGCCTGCTCTTAGATTTTTCTTTGAAAGAATAAAAATATGATCAAAACCCATTGTACGCCTCCCACTGCTTTGGATACCTCGGCACGTCCCCGATCTTGATTTCCTGAATTCGATATACTAGAAAACAAAATAAAAACTGATCCTTCATTTGAAGTAATTAGGGTATAAGTTAAAGATTAATTTTCGAGAGTGTGCATCTTTCTAAACCTACCATGCTAAACAAATTTCTCGAAAATCATTATTTATCACATAGCTTATCATGAAATGTCAGATTGAGTCATGTTGAACTAAAATAAAAATAATTTCATATTTTAAATTAAAATTATTATGTCTAGAAGAGAAGAAAAACGTGTTAAAATTGAAGAAAACCGTTGTCTCAAACAAATTCAAGATAATTATCACTCGTATAAAAATCACGTAAGATTTTATTTATCCATTTCTCAAATTCAATTTTTTTGTTTATATTTGTGTTTAGTTAAAAATTGACGATCATCTATCTCTAGATGTATCATCATTATCTAATAAGCAATCATATTTAGATGAATTTGACTGGTTAAGAATTCGAGTTATTCAAGATTATTATACAGAAGCTGTAAAATTAAATGAAATAACTGGTGTATCATCAAATCTTTCAACACAATCAATTAAATCAACATTAGAATTATTTCATATGCCAATTTATATAACATCAATGCGTCTTATTAGTTATATAAAACAAGTAGATGAATTTCGACAATTAAAACAAGAAGATCAAGTTTATTTAGTTAAACTAAATTTATTATCACTTTGTTTTTTTCATTCAATATTTATTTATGATCCAAGAACAGATCTTTATTATGAACCGAATACAAAAGATTTAGTTTTTTCTGGAAAAGATTGGAGTAGAACATTAAACAAACAGTTTCATCTTGAAATGAAACAATTACGAAATGATATAATTGATATATTTCAATTAGATGATGTTATTATAAAATTATTTCTTTTAATTTTTATTTTTTCAAATCAAAACTCATTAAATCAATCATTTGAATGTGTATTAATAAATATTAATGTATTAGATATATTCAAAGCACAAAATATCTTTATTGATTTAGCATATAAATATTGTCTTGATCGATATGGATTTCAAAAAACATCAATTTTGTTTTCCAAATATATTTATAAAATCATGAAGATACAACAATTAGTTGATGAAGTTAAATATACAATAGATAATTATATAGATAGAAGACAATTAACATCATTAATGCAATGTCTTCTTACATGATTATTTAGTTTGATGACACAATGATGTATTACTGATGTTTATCAATTGTTTTTATTGGATTGTTAATTCGTTGAACAAAGACTAATATTGAAAACATTTACTTCATAAGTGTGTCATATTTTATTTTATATCAATGTAAACTGTTAAGAAAACGTATCTTTTTTTGTGTATTTTATTCAACATATTTAAAGTTTGAAAAGAAGAACATTGATTTTATTAAAAAAAAATCAAGCTAGTGTGATGTATATATTTTATCTATATGTTGTAATAAAAGATCATGAAAACACAAATGAGAATATATATTTCATATTTAGATTATCATTCTAAGAATATATACACCTGAAAAGAAATATTTTTGTAAGAGTGAATATTAATGTAAGTTATTCGTAATCATAATAATCGATATAAATCAGATCAGACATAGAACAGGTTCGACTTTCAAGAATGAATATAATGTCTATCCACTTGAATGCAGTGCTATGTTTGTTTTCTGACAAGAATATTGATTAAAAAATCTGGTTGAGATCATTTAGTATGTTTTTAACTAAATTAAAATGTCAATGGATGAGTGTTTTTATCGTCTGATTTTTGTATGATCATTATAATTATGTTTAACAGTTTTCATAGGTTTTTCTGTTAAGTAAAACTAATCAGAAGAATATAGAGAAGCGGTGTCGAAAGATACATGACGAATTTTATACTAGAGACTTCACTTAGTTTTTGATTCTATCATCATTCACTAATGCAGACGCTTATTGTTTTTTTTATAGAAATTGCGTACGACTTTTAATAATTTCATTTCGTATATTTCTATCTTGATCTGTCTACTATAATTAATTGCTCAAATTTAATCAAAACCTTTCCAATAAGCTACAATTTTTTTGTCTAAATGTTTTTCCTCCCTTTTGAATTATCGTCTACAGATACATGACGTACTAAATCAAAATAATGTTCTGCCGGAGCAGTTCATTTCTATTAGTATACATATAGTCATCTCAATAGTATAATAATTATCCGATGAAAAAGTTGGGAACTGGCACGACTCTATAAATGATTAGAAAGTATGACCTTAAGTGAGTTAAATAGTGTAATAAGATGAAGTGGAAGATGAAGACAATCGGTGATTTTATTCAGAAATAACACGAGTATATGTATGTGAAATAAATAAAGAGAAGAATTCGTCAGGAAGTTTCTTCTCTTCATTAAGTTCACCAAGAAAGACTAACAATGGATCGAGATCTAGAAAGGCCATACAGGAATATAAGTAACTGATCTTGAGAGTGTGGGTGTGGGTGTGGGTGGATGTGGGGTTTGGGTGTAAGTGACATTCTTCTTATTACCTACACCCACGCCCTCTAGATGGTTTTACGCAATGTTACTTTTCGTTTTTCTTTCATGCGATGTTTATATAGTTATTCTCTTTTCTCTTTTCAGTTGATACGCGTGTACATTAACAGTTTTACCTGGTAAAAACGTGATCTATTTGACTATGGACAGAAATATAAATAAATTGAAACGATTACATTCAAAGGAATTCTTTTCAATTAGAAAAATTTTGAAAATTAATAATTTTTTTGTTATTTAAAAATAATGATATGAAACCATTAACAAAAAGGTATTAAAACTAAATAGAATTTTTCTTATTGAAGAATTTATTTTTTATGACTTTTAAGAGAATTTCGAAATGAAAATGAAAAACGTCGTCGTGATTTATCTACACAATTAATAGCAAATTTAAAAGATATACTTTTAATTGAAAATACTTCAGATGCAGACGAAGAAAATACAAAGTTTGATAAAACTTCAATTTTACGTCAAACTGTAACGTTTTTAGAAAAATATCAACAGAGTAAAACATAGTTATACATTAAAATATAAACTGAAGAATAATTTAGATATAAAAAACAAAAAAAAATTAGTTGTACCAAATTTTCAAAATTCTACTTTATCTTCAAATTCTATTCTTGGATTTTCTTGGAAACCACCTTGTGATATAATTTCTATTGATGAATGGTTACAACTAGCTATTGAAGTATAATTAAATAAAGAAAATTAATTAAATATATATTTTTTTTATTTGTAGTCAATGCATTGCTTTTTTCTTGTTATTAAATTTGATTTGTATTTTCATACAATAGTTTATGTATCAAAGAATATTCATTCATATTTTGGTTATTTACAAGATGAACTAGTTAATCATGCATTATTGGAATTTATTCTTCCATCAAATCATGATTGATTACTTGTTTATCTTTTGAATTAATGTCAAGGTTTTTCTTTTTTTTCTTTATTCAAAAAAATTTAATATTATTTTTTAGTCTTACAAATATGTGATATATCTTGAGGGTGTGGGTAATAAGAAGAATATCACTTACAGCCAAACCCCACATCCACCCATACCCACACTCTCAAGATATGAGATAGTATATACGAATGTTCAGAACCGATAACACATTTGCTGAAGAACGTACTATGTGTGACTGAATTATTTTCAACATTCTTTCGATGTAATAACGAGGATACAAATTCATGAACTCTTTTTATATTTTCCTCAGTTCAAAAAAAGTTGATTGAACCTTAAAGCGATGTTCGAATAGTTTTCGAAAGATTTCGTCAGTAAATTGGAATCAAAACAGTCATTAATTTATACGGTTAGAAAAAGGACGGTTTCAGCTACAAAAAAGTTGTAAAATGTGATTTTTATTTAATCGAAATTGTAGAACAAGAAAGTCATTTTGTCAATAAATGTTGTTGAAAAACGCTGAATTTGACTATTCCTGCTCGAAGGTGCCAACACAAAAGTAGTCAAAGATGCTGATGTTTTTATGGTATTTATGATTATGTTTTGAGGATGATTTAAAAAAATTATCTAGATCCGTTCAGTAGAATCTGAGATGTAAATGTTTTGGTGTTGGAAATGCAATGATACAATAAGAGTCCAATTCACTCACACAGTATAGAAAGGAAACTAAAAGAAAGAATGAAAAAAAGTCTTTTCGAACTTTAGAAAAAATATGATACCGACAACAGAATAGATACAGAAACATTATCAAATTGTAACTGAGCTTGCATATATACATTAATGTTAAGCTGGTGACATTGGGCGAATGACGTCCATGTTACTTTTATGTGCCATGAGAATAACTGCGTACTTTGTCAAAAGAGATAAATTCTTTAAATAACTGTATATATAATCGAAAAAGCATTGAGTCGCATACTCTATTCTTCTCCTTTTTTTCAAACATCAAGTATAAATAGCAAAAAAGAATTAAATAACGCTAATGGAATTAGTTATCACTTATTCTTTGCTGATATCTTTACATTCGATAACTCAAAATCCATGTATAGATTACTCGTATATAAATACATTCATAGTGAACAAAGTTATTAAGAAAGACGAATCTTTGGAAATAAGCTGTTCGTTTTTGTATATCATCTTGCCACAATTATTAAAGAAAGAAAAAACGCACAAGATTAACAGATTATGTACATTCGTTGAATGACAATATTAGAGATTGTCAACGGCATTTAATTAAATTGTATTATAGTTATATTGTTACTTATCTACAACTTACACAACCATGATACTTTAGTAAGTTGAATATTAATTATCATTTTCTGAAACAAAATCGTTTGCAATAAAACTGACATTTATTGTTATCATTTAAAATTCAAAATTCTACACATTTCCTGTTAATTCGTCTTCTTTTTTTTATAGTGATTCTTCTATGACAAACTATACGACAGAAACAACGGATACCATTCTCTATTTGAATAGCTTGACGACGATTTTCTCACGTTATGTTGGCATAAGCTTTTATGGATTCGGACTCGTCGGTGGCCTACTAAACATATATGTGTTTTCACAATCGGCACTTCGTTCAAATCCATGCTGTTTATTCTTGTTAGCTCTCAGTATTGTTGATCTCTTGTATATTCATAATACTCTTCTCATTCGCGTTCTCCGTGTTGGTTTTCATTGGAATCTCATGGTTATTTTTCCATTCGTATGCCGATTGCGATACTATATTGGTTATGTACTCATTACACTCTACGTGACACTTCTTACCGTTGCATCGTGTGAAAGATATGCATCGACACACAAGCGACGCAGTCACTGGCATCAATTTAGCAAACCTATGACTGTGTGCTATACTATTCTCAGTTGTACAATCCTTTGCTGTTTAGTATGCTTATTTGTACCTTTTTGCTATAGCGTTAGCAAGACTTCTGCATGTGTAGTACATAATTCCATATGTACAACACTCAGGGATGTCTACACATTTATAGTAATCGGATTTGTACCACCAGTCTTCACCGCAATATTTGCTTGGCTCACATTACGTAATTTACGCATCTTACGTCGCCGATCGCGAATAGGAGCGATGTCCTACAAAATTTATTTACGAATTAAAGATGCAAATCAGCAGCTCACATCAATGCTCTTTATGGATGTAGTCGCCATGTTAATTAGTAGCGTACCCTATGCTTCGCTTAAGATCTATCAGTTAAATACTCGTCATATAAACAAAACTTTGATGTGGACAGCATGGGAACAGCTAATCTCAGAATCCATTCATCTACTTATTTTTGTCAACTATTTATGCTCAGCATACCTGTACTTGGCTACCTCACCAATGTATAGAAAACGTTTAGTATTAAGAAAGAAACTGCCTCACGTACCAATTGTAATAAGTAATGAGTTTATCAACAATATCTTCAAGTCACGAAATCGAACAAAAAATGAAAAGACACTTCTCTCAATACCAACTAATATCTCTAAAGTCATCAAACGAAATCAACAACGTCGTCCTACCATTATATCGTTGTACATGACATCATATAGCAAGAATTGTTCAACAGCGATTACATCATGATCAGTGTGTTACAAGCCGATACTGTACAGCTTCAAGTGAAACTATCTTAATCAGAAATTAACGTATGTGGTTATGAGTGTGGGTATGTTTTCTCCTAATCAAAATCAACATCAACATCTACACTTACACTGATTCAATAATATAAGGAAAAATTTTAGCAATGGTATTTATAATAAACTGATTGAATTTACGAAAACAAGTTCTACTTAATCAAGATGTATTCCAACGGTTGAAATAATATCAAAAGATTTTTTCCAATAAAGACTTATATTATATTTTTGTAATAATTACAACTTTTATTCAACATGTACATATTTTTATACATCAGAAGCGCACGAGTAAAAAAATGAATAAAAGAAATATGCAATAGATTAATTAATAATGCACAATCTTGGTAATAAATATATCATAACATTTGGTATATGAATACTCTGTGATATTATATCTAGCATGACCAGAAAGTGTCACAATGACAAACAAAAAATGTTATAACTAGAATAATCTTTTATTATTATTCAAGATATTCTGAAAGATTATTCTTAGAGTGGATATGATATTTGTAATTAGTATATAACTCTCTGCCTTTTATTTATACAGCTTTTTTCTTCCGGTCGACGTAACATTTACATATTCTACAACGTAAAATTTGAGAATCTCAAAAATAAATAGAATCATTTTTCATGAAGACATGGTTCCTATGTTAATTGAAATAGTATTAACACCCTGTTTATATTTAAATACATTTATCGATCAAATAAAAAAAGAAATGTTTTTTTTTCTTTTGTCAATAAGTTTATTGAAGAGGTAATGAATAATTTTCAAAAGACAACAACAAAAATGCTTAATTACTACTGGACAACATTTAGACATAAAGATAAAATATTTTCTTTATAAATTCAATGTTTATTGTTGTTTTAGAAAAATATTTTGAATTATTATTATAATAATATTTAATTCTGAGTTGGATGTATTTGAGTACCAGGATGATTAGGATGTTTGAGAAGATTTTTTTTAATTTTATTTGTAGCTAAAATAGTTAATAAATCAATTAAAATTAAACATATTGCTGTTACAGAACCAACAATAAGATGAGTTAAATAATTTAAATCACCATTAATTAAATCAAATATTACAAATATTATTGTTGGAAAACATAATATTACTAACATTGATACACATGTTATAATATGTTTAATAATTGCGGGTGTGGGTGTGGTGAGTGCGGATACTATCATTTTCACTCTCACTCACATTTTCACCACACTTTCACTTACACTCTCACTCATGCTCACACCCACACCCTTTATATAAATTATATGATAAAAAAGTTCTTTGATTATAATAAATAACTCGAATTAAACGATAAAATGCATTTGAACAATAACTATAATAAATTGAACATTCAAATGTATCATAAAGTAAATCACATATATAACAAATATCTATATTTATTAATAAAAATTCATGAATTAAATTTGAACTAATCATTATTATTATTACTGTCAATGATGTTAAAAATGCTGAAAAACATGTATTTAATATTAATAATATTGATAGATCATGTGATCTTTGTTCATGAATTATTTCAATAAAAATTAAAAATATACAGACAAATATACTTATACTTAGTAATACCAAAGACCAATTAATAATTCCAAATATTAATGAAGATATTAATATATTTATTCTAACAATATTTCATTAAAATTTGTATTCAATCAATAACTATTCAATGATATTTCTTAATAATAAATTAGATGTATTCTACATGAACATTATGGGTATGAAACGATATTAGCACCTACCCAGCAATATATCAGCGATAGAAATACTTGGAAATCTCCTTATAAATAAACTAAGTGTTATGTACTCATCCAGGACAACGCAAAAGAAAAGACCTGATATACTTTTCTTTAAATAAACACATCTTATTTCACTATTTTATAAAATTTATTATAATCATTATCAATTTTATATTATTATATTTGAATAATTTAATATCTATTGATATTTCTTGGAAGTATTATTTTAAGAAGTCAGATATAACACAACATTATAAAAAATAGATAATAATCAAAAAGAGATATTTGATATACTCTATGTTTAATCTTATTTAAATTCTATTCTCACACTAAACAAATACATAGTGAATTCTAATAATAGTAAGAATATTGTTATTCAAGTAGATATGTCATTAAAAATGATATTCTAAAAAGGAGTAACATTAAGAACAAGAATACTTTGTTATATGATAATGATGTAAGATCAACAATATCTATAAAAACGAAACCTAGATTCAAATTTCTATCACAAACTCCATTTATATCATTTGTATCTATAATTAAAATATCGAACGACATCATTGAAAATGATTCGAAACTGTTATTGTCTCAAAGATCATTGAAATAACAAGCATTAAAGTATATTAATAAAAATGCTGAACATTTCTTTTTTTGTCAATCAATACAGATAGACATCAATAGTATTTCCTTCAAGGTTGAGAAGATTGTTAGAAATCTATATTAAATGCTTCAAAAGTATCACACACCCACTTGACACAAAATGCACGACTATATATAGGTTGGTAGAAGGAGAAAACCCATATATGAATACGAAAGGAAAATCCCTAACATGAACATCTCTTAGAATAACATAAAAGATAAGATAACAGAGAGAGGACTAACCCTTCATATATGAAAGAGGAAAATACCTCTCGATAGAAAGAATGACAAGAGGGAAAAATATCTATATATAAGAAGACGAACAGAAAGGAAAATACATATCGCTAGAGAGAATGACAAGAGAAGATAATACATATCAGGGTTGCCAACTGTGCCCCATTTTGGGGTACAGTGCTCCGCTTCATCGCTTTGTACCTTACAAAATTGTGTACCTCATGAGGTACATATTCTGTACCTCATTCAAGCTTTTAAGTCTTTAGTACAATTTATAAATCTTCTAATAAAAATAAGCTATATTCCCCACTAGATTTTTGTCTGTCTTACACAGACATCTATAATAAAATGTATGCCCAAGTCAGCCCATGCGCCATTTGTACGCGTACGTACATACTTCGTACGTGTGACGTACATACCCTTCGTGCGCGTGACGTGCGAGACGCTCGGTACGCGCACTTATTGTCACACGTACGTACAGTACGCGTACCGAATGTGACGTACGCCTAAATGACGCGACCCTTGACTGGATCTTTGTTTACATCATTTTTGCGTAATTTTTTTGTGGTGCCGTGACGTCACGCGTACTAATGTGCACGAAGTGTACGTAACGCGAACTTAAGTGTGACGATTGGTACAAAGAAGTGCACGCACCGTACGCGTAACATCACGCGCACAAGCGCGTACCAGTGTGACGTGCGCGTACAGATGGCGCACTAGCTGACTTGGGTGGGTGAAGAACTGGTCAATACATATTAACATCCATATTATTTAATGTCCAACTTCATCTTGGATTATTCAATTTTATCTACTATTTTTACCACGAACAATGAAATAAGTTTTAATGAATTTTCTCCTTTTGTCACTTCTCATAGTTTCAATATTTTTCTTTTGATATTTAATAAACATATATTGTCTGAAAAATGAATCTAGATATAATTTTCTTTTCAATTGACTTGATGATAATCTTCATATGGAATTGAAAGAAATTTATGAAATAGAAACTTCTGAAGATTTAGAAGTAACAACTAGTAAAGAAATTTATTGTTTTTGAGACCAACAAACTATTAATATCAAGAAAAAAATATCTCTTTATCATCAAAGTCAAAAAGACGTTGTGCCTTCAATAAACAATGGTTAAACGATCCAGAATATGCAGCGTTTCTTAGAGAATGTCGAACTGATAAATATTCTGTCCACTGTGCTATATGTAAATCAGATTTTTCTATTGCTAATGGTGGTGTTTATCTAATTAATCGTCATATTGAACATGTATTAATGTATAATTTTGTATTTCTTTTTAATTGTATTGTTTTCAATCGTGAATTTATGAACTAACTAGCAGAGTGCTTTTTCATAGAAAATGAACAATAAAGCTAATTAAGTTATAAACATAGTGAAATATTATGTTACTTTTTACAAAAGAAGATTTACTTCATCGTTTTCTCAATTAAATCGAACATTTCAGGAGGAAAATGATGTACCCCAGAGTTGTTCCTTTTTCTAAAAAGGAATGTACCCCATTTTGACTCTCAAAAACCCCATTTGAAAAATAAGAGTTGGCAACCCTGATACATATATAAGAAAAAGAATAGAACGGAGAACGAAAGAGAATATGACATATATACGATCATCGTGATGATTGTTCTTCTTAATTGCATCTGTGTAAGATGCAGAGCATAACACAAATAAATGGAAAATAATCATTTCAATCAAAACTATGTGATATTAATGCATGATTTCTATTTAATGGATACTTTCTATCTGCTGCTTTATATTCAACTGATTATCAAAATTTGATATAAAAAAAGCAATGTTTATTCTTAATTGCAAAGAAGATGGTGATGATATTCATTTATTTCAACAATATTGGACAAAAAATATTTTCAACCATGTTTATTTATTGATCCAAAACAATTAAAGATTGAAAATAATCAATTAATTGATCGAAAAATAAATAATATTATTGAACAATTTATTCTTCAATTGCATCAATATGAACTTTTAGAATTATCTTCCGATATTCTCTGGTTTTTTATTAAAAACAATCAAATAAATTATATAAATGATTTACGAACAATATTTATTTTATATGATAAATCTTGATTAGACGAATAAATATTTAGAGGTAATGCGAGATTATAAAAAGAAATATGATGATTACAAAAGTTCTGTTTATAATTTGTAGAGAACTGGTACGTCAATGTTTTCATATGATTGAGCAAGTGGATAACATGGCATTTTACTTTTCCATACGTGAACATTGCCAATCCATTCTTCCTAGAAACAAACAAATATTTCAACAAGTATTAATTAATAATTGATTTACTTTTGGTAAAATAATTTGTTTTTCAGATATAATATTTTCTTTTTCTTTAGAATCTTTATTAGTTATTGTATCAATAATAAGCGGTTGTTTATTTAATTTAACTGTATGTTCAACAGCTCCTTCAATTATTGTTTCAGTATTTTCTTCATTAGTAATAGCTGCTAATTCATTTACTTCGTTAATAATAGATTTTTTATCATTTGATCCTTGTAATGCTATTGCAGATGGATTAACATGAACAGATAATTTACGACGATGAATAGAATTTAATGATATATGATGATCATAAAAACGAAGTAAATCAGTACGTTCCAAAGATTTTATTATTTCAACTTCAAGTTGAGCTATATAAATTTTGTTGATATTCTGAAAAAAATAAATAAAATATTTTAATAACTTACGTCGATTGAAACAAAATTGATGACTGGTTGTTTCATTCCAAAATTTGTATACTTGACTATGCATTCCCTTTGGAATTTCGACTTTTTTTATCATATAACCTTCACGTTGTTTTTTAAATACATCATCAGACATATTCAAAATATAATCCTATTAAAATGAAAGATTTTATGTAACTTTCCTTAAATAATTTCTTTTTGAAAATCAATTCAATCGTCAAACATAAAAACATCTGAATAAAATTATTATTAATGGTATCACATTAGGAAGAGATATAACAAAAGGTTGATATTAACTTATATTCGGAACATAACCAATAAACATTGATTTCTTTTGTGTCAGACAGTTGGCATAAAAAAAGCATTAATTATTAGTTAAAAGACAATCCGATCTAAGTCCAGTTATATTAGATTTCATACAAAAGTAGACCTAAAAGTATTCATTAGCAAGTCATATTGTTAACCAAATTAATCAAAACTACGTCTATCTTAGGCGATCAAAGATAAATAACATTCATTTGTTTAATCAAATGATTCTCAAATAATTCATCATATGAGTAAAAAGATTTGATTCTTTTTTAAACATCACACATATTTGTAAGCGGCTCAGGTCATGAAACATGCATTAATACTATATGTAATAAGATACAAACCATAAGAAATATTACAGAAGTGTGACTTTGTCGTAGTTTGTTTCAGAACTTCTCCTGTATGATATTTAGAATATTTTTCATTATTTAGATTCTACGTACTCTTATCGAGTCAAT